CTTTTATCATTCATTCTGCTTTGTGCATTAAATGTTGATCTAATTAGAGACAAAGCTCTCAATGGTGTGTGTCTTTAAAAAAAAAAAACCTTTCTTTTTTACAAGTTGAAGTCCCATTCTCAGAATGTCATGCAAACTTTCTCTCGACCAGAAAGAAAGTTTCTTGGTCACAAAGACAATAGGTGGAAAAACTTGGGTGTCTGACCCACATCCTGGGATCACTTAGAAGGCCTAATTAGGCCTAATGTTTCTAGAAGTTTGGGTTAATGACATGCCGGAGAAACAATGACTGTTCTCTGTATAATTGATGTGGCTGGTCAAACGGAAAGATTTCTTCTTTCAAATTTATATTGTCTTTTTTATCATTTCCTTGTGTGACACTCGTAAAAACAAATTTGCATAAAGTTACTATTACTGCCAACAAAATGGCATTTTTTAAAAGTTTAAATGTTATTATTTTATCTTCTTTCACAAGGTATTAAGACCAAATGGCCAATAAATAAATAGTGTGTGACGTTTCGGTAAGTGTTGTTACCGAAATGTCATATACTATTTGTTAATTTGGATTTGGTTTCTCTCTCTTTCATTTATCTTGGGTTTATAATCTAAATTGTGTGCCTTATCATATTTTGTGTGTGATAAGGTATAATTTGGATTATAGATTACAATACACTACAATTATAAACACAAGGTAATAAGACCAAATCCAAATAAAAAAAATAGTGTGTGACATTTCGGTAACAGCGTTGTTACCATCTTCAGACAAAAGTACTGAATGACTAGGTACTGACTGGTACTTTTGTCTGAAGAAGGTAACAACGCTGTTACCGAAACGTCACACACTATTTATTTATTTGGATTTGGTCTTATTACCTTGTGTTTATAATCTATAATCCAAATTGTGCCTTTTTAATACACTACAATTGTATTGGATTGGTTTTCTTATAAACCCATATTTACTATGGAAGGCAGTTTAGGAGTGTTTAGTGAACCTATGGACATAAGCTTATAGGTCTGTAGAGGAGACCATGAGTATCAATATCTTTTTTAGGAAAACTAATTTTTTATTTGGTCCTATTACCTTGTATTACGATGCACTAACATGCCATCTGTTATGATAATTAGAAACTATTTTAGACGCGTAAGATTCTTTTTGAAATTAAACAATTTCTACTGCCCTTACTGCAATGGAAAAATTAATGGGAGGGCCCCTGGCTTATCAGTGGTGAACCCTCCCAGCGGTTTCGCCAGTTTAATCTACCATACCGCTGTAATATTGCATTTTTTTATCTTCCTTTTATAGTCATACTGATTCTAGACTCTTGGAATGGGTATTTTAGATGAACTATAGACATAAGCTTTGAGGACAGTAGAATCACATACATTTATAAATATATAATTTCCAAAAATAAAAGAAAATAAGACCTAATCCAAATAATTTATTAGTGTGTGACGTTTCGGCAGCAACATTGTCACCATCATCAGACAAAATCATGACAATGTTGTTGCCGAAACGTCACACACTAATAAATTATTTGGATTAGGTCTTATTTTCTTTTATTAAATCTATAATCCAAATTGTGCTTTATCATATATAATTTCCATTGCAGTAAGGGCAGTAGAAATTGTTTAATTTCAAAAAGAATCTTACGCGTCTGAAATAGTTTCTTATTACCTTGTGTTTAAAATGGCAATTAAACCATCCCTAGTAGAGAGGTGTCTTCAAGAGAGAATATCCTCTTTGACAGAAGTTCTACTGTATTAGAAAGTTTATCATTCTGCCTGCCCTTTCTCACTATCTTCACCAAATCCACATTTCTATTGCCTCCAAATATTTTTTTCAATTTTCTCCTTTTATCTCAATTCCTATCTATAATCTTCTCAAAAGGCTAGAGAATCCACAATAGCACATTTAATTTTTTTCCCCTTCAAAAAAAAGAAAATAAATAAATACAGTTAAGCCTGTCTATAGCGCCTCAAAAGTGACCTGTCTATAGCACCCCCTCTCTCTATAGTACCCTATTTTGGTGAGTCCCAAGAGGGGGCGTTATAGACAGGTTTAACTGTAGAGTGACTTTCAAAATTATTGGTTTGGACCATATGTATTATATTGACAAAATGGTAAAAATCTTGTGAATTAATAATTAACCACAATTTATATATAAAAATTGTACTACAAGAAAATAAGACCAAATTCAAATAAATTGTGTGTGACATTTTGGTAACAGCGTTGCTACCATCATCAGACAAAAGAAAATAATTTATTTATTCTTTATATCATTCATTTATTCTTTTATATGATTATGTGGTAACAATGCTGTTACCGAAATGTCACACACTATTAATTTATTTGGATTAGGTCTTATTTTCTTGTAGTTCTAATCTATAATCCAAATTGTACTTTATAATTTGTGGTTCTAATATTGTAATTCTTAGGTCCCCACAAGTCTCAATTCTATATACAGTTACGAGCGTCATGTGTGGCCTCTGTCACGGTTTGCTTTTTTTTTGGAATGGCGCCCTCCTATTGGTCGGCTACGATCACGCCACCTTTGCCCCCCCCCCCCCCCCCCCCCCCCCCCATCATGCCCCCCCCCCCATTTCTGTAACTATTGTGTTGGAGCGGGTCGCTCCTTAAATAAATGCATATATTAGTTAATAACCAAATGGAATCCTCTCTTTCTTTTTCCCAGTAAGAGACGCCTACGGAAGCCAAGAGTACATAGACAGATAAAGCACATAGGCTATAGTTATTAACTAAAATATGCATTTATTTAAGGCGCCAATTTATAATTGTAACAAATAGTATTTGAATCAAAACATTCAATCGGGTAAAACACGGGCATTGCCCGGGTCATTCGGCTAGTTATTTTATAACTGTGGTTATAACCAGTGTTGGGCATTAAAAAATTATCTTTCAATTAAATTGAAGTGCAATTAACAATTTATTAATTGTTAATTAGAAAAGTGCAATTAACAATTAATTAATTGTTAATTGTATGAATACAATTAACAATTAATCAATTGTTAATCTTTAATAAATCATTTTAATTAATATTTGCCCAACACTGCCTGAGATAAAAAGTGTTTTTATTAAATACAACACACCTTTACCATCGTCAGCTGCAGTTGAACGCCTTTTTTCTTTTGCGACAATGACAAATCTGCCAAAGAGTCACAAATTGTCGGACAGCATGTTCGAGAAGAGAGTGGTACTGAAATGCAGTGTTGGGCATTAAAAAATTATTTTTCAATTAAATTGAAGTGCAATTAACAATTAATTAATTGTTAATTAGAAAAGTGCAATTAACAATTGATTAATTGTTAATTGTGAAAATTACAATTAACAATTAATCAATTGTTAATCTTTAATAAATCATTTTAATTAATATTTGCCCAACACTGGCTATAACATAAAATTTTGCCCCCATCCCCCAAGTGAAAAAAAATTGTCTAAAAAAAATCTATATATACAATCATGTTTGGGATGTAATACGTACAGTTGGCCACAACGTTTCAGTAACAGCGTTGTTACCATCTTCAGACAAAAGTACTGAATGAGAGAATTTTACCACAGCATGCTTCCATGCAATCCAAATTGTGCCTCATCAATTTTATTTGACTTCAATGGACCTAAGAAGTTATTCTCCCTATGAGCTGAAGAAAATGAATTCTAAAGTGAATATCAATGTTGATGCTAAGCCATCACTTGAAGATTCTATTTTAAAGAGTTCAGGATCTGAAGCTCTCCTCTACTTCAAGAAGTTGAGAAAACACAGCATCACACTTGATAACAGGAACTATTTAAAAGCATGCTGTGGTAAAATTATCTCATTCAGTACTTTTGTCTGAAGATGGTAACAATGCTGTTACCAAAACGTCACACACTATTTATTTATTTGGATTTGGTCTTATTACCTTGTGTTTAAATTTTGATAATATTTAAGAGGATTGCTTTCTCTCTTTTTTAATTTTATTTATTTTTTTAAAAATGTTCACAAACTCTTTTTTTATAGCGGTATCTATATGCAACAAAAATGTTCTTCTTATTCTTTCTTCTTCTTTCTTATCTCCACTCAAACATATTAGGGTATCAAGTTGTGACCTTTGATGGTGTCTGTTTGACAACCATCATGACTGGGTGAAGTAGAATGCGTCTGCCTTTGTCATTAAGACTGGGACCAATACTCAGTGGCAGGCTGACTTAACTCTAAAAGAAATGGCCGCCTCTGACATGGGGAACAGACGGCAAGTGTAGCTGCTCCTAACATGGAGTACAAACGCTGCTCATCCTGGATTAGGAGCCCTTACAGGGTACTATCAGCCGGGCCAGCTGAACCCAGGTTTTTTAGAGAGCTTGTTACTGCTCCCCCTCCTCCTTTTTCATCTGGGCTTGGGACCGCCAAAGATGGAGTTATAATTATAGCTAGGGTTGACTATTACACAATTTTTATTTTATTGATTGTGGTAAACTCCGCAGATATAAGATTTGACTGCTGTACTATTAGAGGTGTTGATTATGAACTGTTGACCTTAATTAAGTTCTTCCATATAGTTTTCTTCTCAGACTTCCATACACAATATCTCTGCCTTAAAAAAAAAAAAAATCAATAAATTCTAAAAAAAAAAAAAGAGAAAAAAAAGTAAAATGTCTATTTATAGCCATTCTTCAACAAGGAGCCACCAATAAAAGGCCAAAACCAATTGAATCCTAACTTGTCTGCTAAGCCTATTAAGCATGACGAGTTAACAGCCACCTCATCTGCATACAATGGAATCCTGACATATTTTATCCAGGCTGTCAGTGATGACTCAATATAGGGTGGGACTGAATCTAAAAATTGCCATGTTTGAAGAAATTAGGTTTGACAGGTTTGTTGTGTACCCATAGAGATTTATAGTTTCCTCTCTTTTTTTGTGGCAAATTTAGTACTATTTGGATAGTGATCATTATGTCTCTGGAAACCAACACCTTATCCTTTGAGACACAGGATCAAATATGGTTCCTGATGGGATTCAAACCAACAATCTTTGGCTCCAGAGGTCAACACTTTATCCTTTGAGCCACAGGATCAAATACCAATCTTGATGGGATTCAAACTCACAATCTTTGGCTCCAGAGGCCAACATCTTATCCGTTGAGCCACAGGATCAAATACCAATCTTTATGGGATTTAAACCCACAATCTATGGCTCCAGAGGCCAACGCCTTATCCGTTGGGCCACAGGATCTAATACCAATCTTGATGGGATTCAAACCCAAAATCTTTGGCTCCAGAGGATAACACCTTATCCGTTGGGCCACAGGATCAAATACCAATCTTGATGGGATTCAAACCCAAAATCTTTGGCTCCAGAGGATAACACCTTATCCGTTGGGCCACAGGATCAAATACCAATCTTTATGGGATTCAAACTCACAATCTATGGCTCTAGAGGCCAACAC